TGATATGCTTTTTGACAGGCCAAAATCAAATGCAAGCAATCAATGTCACAATAAGTTAGGCATGAAATTATTACTTTAATGTGCATGAGATTGCGAGGAGAATATTTTTCATATGAATGACTAAAACCACTTGAAAATGACATTAGGAATGTTGGGTTTTTTTAACTGGAATCAAAATTGCTGCTAAAATTTAAATAATTTTCTTTAAAAATTTAAGAAAAGAATATTAAGCAGACGTCCTTTTCAGGAAGTTTTCTTGGGTATACATCTGGCGACGTTCAACAAGAAAAGAGTCCTTCTCTTAAATCCTCTTGTGATCAACGTTAACTTTATAAGGAAAGAAAAGTTGCTACCTTTCTCAATGTTGTTCGTATTTGTTGTGTTCAAATCCACAAGACTTTTAGCTGCTTTTTCTATTAGCTTTTAATTCATTGGGGTCCATAACTATCTATGCTCAATTTGGTGTTAAACATTTAGATACTTTTTCAAGATCAAATATTTTAATAATAATTACTATAAATTAAATATTTTTTATTTTTTATAATTAAAGGTTAACTTGATAGGTAACAAAACGTATATCACATGCGACAAAAAATTACGTGAATGGATGACATGACATGTTAAGAAATATTATTGTTACTTTTTATAGAAAAAATGTTATTAACGTCATGTTAAAAAAAATAATATTTTAAATTTAATTATTATACATCATATTAAAAATAATTGTTATATATTATTTTGACAATGTAATTGTTATATATTATATTAAAAAAATAGTCTTACACACCATATTTTTAAATTTAGTTATTAGTCATCATATTAAAAATAATTGTTACATGTCATTTTGATAGTGTAATTGCTATATATCATGTTGAAAATTCAATTGTTACTCATTATATTAAAAAATATAGTTATTATACGTCATATTGATAATTTAGTTGTTACTCGTCATGTTAAAAAATATAATTGTTACATGTTATGTTGAAAAATATAGTTTTTACATGTCATGTTGAAAAATTTAATTTTTACATGTCATGTTGAAAAATATAGTTTTTACACGTCAATGTTGAAAAATTTAATTTTTACATGCCATGATGAAAAAGTTGTTACATGTTATGTTATAATTTAAATTTTTTTAACTTGATAGAAAAGACTTTATGATAAAATTATTTTTTTATATTTTATATAATAAATTAATTTTCATATAATTTACGTGTCTTTCACGTGCAAGGCACGTATCACATTA